ACCGAAAACGAATTTTTCAGTGTGTTCTTGACGCGAAAGTGCAGGAAGATGAGAATCGCCTTCAGGAATACCATAGAATACTACTGACCTCTCTCGTTTTTCGGTTTCAAGAAACTTGGACGATAAAGAAGGAAACTTACCTACGAACTTTTCGAGGAGAGGCACAGCTTCCGGGGCTTTTTGACTGATTATGCCGTGAATCTGATTCAGAAGTTCCACGGCATCGTCATCCATTAGGGGGGTGGCACAGGGAACAACTGGGGATGAGGGCTTTCTTTTTTTCGGTAGCTGGGATGGAGTGGCCGGCATTTTAGGGAATCAATAGAGTATCGGCCGCTCAGGATGACCGCACGTAGTCGAATGTAGTTTTAAAAGTGGAAACCGCCAATTTATTTTGTTAAATTAGTGAAAAATCATAAATCATGGTTGAAATTTCCAAGTTCCAACGATTATCAGCATTTGAAGCATCTGTATTTCATAGAATTGCAAGGTGAAGACTTGGGAAACCTATTCTGAAAATCGCTGAAAAAGTAGATGAGCAGTCTAGACAATAAGATGCATATCCACGTTGCTTTACTCTATTCGAATATTACCAAAGCACCTCCCAAAGTCTGAAATGAAAATTAAAAATAGATAGAATTAGATTAGATAAGAGGTATGGCTTGGATACTCTGACAATTATTCGAGCGATCGTTGCAGAACTCGAAACAAAAGCATCACTGCTAGGAAGAGGAAAAATTTGTATTGAACATCTTTACGTTCGTCTATTGTTATTTCTTTGATCTAATTGGTTTAAAGATAAGCCTGATGAACGGCAGAACTTTAGGACCGATCCAGAGGATGTAAGCTTTTTCGGTAAGGCTGCAAGATCACAAGTATGCTTGAATAAATACGAAATCATAATCTTGCGTACTTAAGAATGTGACTTTCGTAACTTTTGGTGTATTTAAAAGTCTGGGAGTCGACTTTGCAGTGTTGCAGATTTAGTCAGCTAATGAATTTCAATTCCAGATTAATGCCACCTCATGCTGCAATCATCCTCTACAAGTCACTTTACCTAGCTAAAAATGCCTTACATATGCCTTTGTAAGAACTGGATTTATCCACTAGTGCAGAGCGAGAAATCAAAATTTCTAGTATTTACAATTTATTTCCTAGCTAGTATATGTGGTTAGTCTAAAATTTGATAAAAACAATTGGGAGGCTTCCCGCCATTTCATCGTAGTAGCTTCGTTTGCCAGAAATTATGCTTTCAAGAACTCAAAACAGCATTTGCGAATATCACCTGCGTGCCAGTGCGGCCGTCTCCAAACAAATTTGGAAGCTATAGAAGCACAGCAGGCACGAATTTCAAGCTATATTCCTACCATAAGTCTTCTATACAAGCATATAGGTTGAATTTGGCCGATGGAGCGATTTTGATGCCTTTTAGGTTATGATTTCTCGCTTCCGTCCGCTCAATCGCATTTAAGTTTTCCAGAATTTTTCAACATTACAAAAAAATTTCTTTGTAACACGTTGCTGAGGATTGATAGAAAATTATTTGAAGTAATTCTGGGTAGAAGTTACGTTGTTCTTTCAATGGAACCCGACTTGAAGCTTTGAGTGGACTTTACGCTAAGTTTGTCATGAGGGAAAGGCAAAATCTTTGTTCACAAAAAAATGGGCCCAGGTAATGGAAAGGTGTGCATTCTTTTTTAATACAAAGCAACAACTTCTGTCTCTTTGTCGTTTATGCAGCTGCTGTTTTAATTCCTTTATGAAGTTTCAAAATAATATGATTGTCTCTATGAAGATCTGCGTGATCAGCTGCAATGCAGTCTGCCTCAGCGCGTTTTTCAACACTAGAATTCGCTAGCTTTGTGAATCAAAATGAACTATTTCGGAAGTGCCAATGTCTCCTTCACAGTTTATTCAAAGAAAACTGATTGTGAAATCTTTCCTACTGGATAATCAGAAAGAATTTAGTAGCGAGATTTTCAGGTTTATTCAATTTTCTGAGTGGCATAGTCGCTGCGATCGCTGGAACAATGCCAACATTAAACCTGACATAACTGTTATGACATAACTAACCCATCACGTTTGAGGGAATTTCAATAGCTCTTTCTAGATTACTTCAAAAGCATTTGTCTTCGTTCTATACAATTCGCTTATATCCCTCAACCATAACTATGATGATCGCTCGATTCTAAAAAAAATTACCACTGCAACAGTACGATCCACCGGTAGGTCGTAAAAAACGCTTCTTGTCCCAGATGCCCCAAACGAGAATTTGCTTGTGACTGTTTATGTACAGCACCAAAGTCCACTGAAGTCCAAATCATAGGGACCGGCCATATTATTCATGTGATTCCTGCAGTTCCTGCGATTCGCAATCTTGTGGGTCTCGCAACAATGTGTATTGCGAAAAAAAAACAATGTAGAGGGCGAGCAAAGACTGCGGACCTATCTGCGTCTCTTTGGTCGAAAGCTCTTTCGTGCCTTCACCATGTGCTGTCTCTCTCATGCACGAACTATCTTGGCCGGACGCAGCGACGTCCAGTCTTTGCGTGTCGTGCATCGTGTATGTACTGAAATTGGCAGAGCGCTTCGTAGTGCAGCACATCAGAAATGGAGGAATCACAGGAATTCAGAAATCCCGGAAATCGCAGAAATCACCACCTCCTGGAATAGTATGGCCGGTCCCATAGAGTACTTCCGTTACCGATTTCAGTGCTGCCAGTGTTGCCGTGATAATCAAAGAACACTCTCGTAAGTTGCTCTTGAGTAACCTCCCGGAAACTTAATCTAATCGTATGTCTCGGGCAATAGGCGCGCAAAACTGAACGATTGCGTGGCCCGGATAGAAAGAATTGATAAACGCTCACGAAATTAAAGCTTTTTTTCAAAATATGCATAATTCTTAAACTTAGCTTAGCATCAAATTTATATATTTTTTCTTTTTTTATTCTTCAATAACCATGGTTCTTCTCGAATTATTGTTGAAACATGGTGATTTTGTTCTATTTTTCCGTTGTAAGGAGGCTACAGAGGGTTCTCTGCGATGTGGCAAGAATGATGTTGATGGCCAATCTTGGACGACCTACCCCTTTCCATCATCGCAATAGTCCACCCATTTAATGATCATTTGATGATACCTGCGCAAACGGTAAAGCTGTCCTTTCTAGTAAAGCGCACGTTCGTCTACAAAGTAGTTGGCAGCAAGATGCTTGAGATCAATCTTGGCATAATTACAACAGTTATGAATCAAGTCAACAAAACAAAGAGATAATAAATGAGGATCTCGAATTCAATTTTGAGCTAAATCTGCTCAAACACTGACTGCTCCGAGACTAGGTCATATAGGGGAGCATTCTATGAAAGAGATAAAATTAGTAAGTGAAACGCAGACGACCTGACAGGAAGATGGGCATCAAAATAGTTAGGTATCCTGTAGCAGTATATCAAATACTGCCTCAACTATAACAATCTATATGGCACCATGACAGATACAATCAAATGACGCTATACATATCTCGACCGATCAAAACTTCTCATAAACTCAGCCAATCGTTGATTTGCCTCTGCGTGTAAGGTTTCAACAAAAGAAGTTGGCCGCGGTAAGGTTGCTGCTTCTGAGGGTGGAATAGGAGATGTGGGTGAAGACATGAGCGTTTCTGGATCGGAACATATCGTGGTGGCATCTACAGGATGTCGTACATATCGAGCCAGTAGCACTGGGAGGTGGCACTCATTTATAAGAAAATCATCATCAAAAATACTTTTACTTACCAGAACCCAAAATAGCGGCGACAACTAACACAGCTAGCAGTATTAGAGAACCTTTTGATGAAAGAACATTTACTATTCGACTCAAAGGTGGTCGGTCGGAGGTTACGTCGACTTTGGTGGAAAGCGCGGAGCTCAAAGCTCCTTCTGGAGCATTCTGATGTCGTAACCGGCGAGTGATTAGAAGATCTGGAGAGCTTCCGCCACAGGTAGGGGGCTGAAAACACATCCATTCAATTGAATTTTATTCTGAATGAGAAGGAAAACTCTTGAAGTTTAGTAAAGATTTACGAGGTACGTAATCAGCTTCTAATTTCCGTCTTCATTCTCAATATTAGATCTCCAAATAAGCCTTGACGGATATATTGTAACCTCACCCTATAAGCCAGGGAGAGTCCAATGACTCTAAATGAATGGCAATATGGGCTGTAATGGATAACTCATATGTGAGTGGGAAGATCAAGTTAGGTAATCATGAAGATGGTAAATCATTACAACTCAGACAGTTGAAGGGATACCTCCGGCGGGCATATGGCGCGAGTCTGCCACTTCGCGCTCCGGAACCCTGCCATTTCACGCATTTTTGTGCTTCGGGGCTCTCCCAAAAGTGGCGCACCTCCGGAGCAGAAATTTGCGCGTCGCGGAGAGGGGTCCCATTCATTCACCGTGACGTCACGGTGACGTCACAAACAGGACGAATGGGACTCCGACTGGGACTTCTCCGCGACGCGCAAATCTCTGCTCCGGAAGTGCGCCACTTTTGGGAGAGCCCCGGAGCACAAAAATGCGTGAAATGGCAGGGCTCCGGAGTGCGAAGTGGCAATCCTCCGCTGGGGAAAGCCCGCGACCTGCCACTTCTGCTCCGGAGGTACCCCATCAACTGTCTGAGAACTTGTTTGACAGCAAAAAAATGCTCTTGCAGTGATAAAATAAGCAAAGCGGGGAGAGTTTAATGACTCCAAGAAAATATTAGTAAAGTTTCACTCTTTGTAATTCACTAGAAAGTCAACAAGCTGTAGTGAATAAGAAGAGAAGCGGATTGATTAGACCTGAACTTTGGCCTTTGTAGCTTAGGGCTGGACCAGTGGCGTACGCGACGCACGCCGCGTACGTCTCGCAGTTTGGCCCAACCCTTACTGGAGAATCACAGTGTTCTTGCTATGTGTAGCAGCTTTCTTGCATCAGAAAATGTGTATTGTGTAATAAACAATTGAAAACATTTATTCTCTACATCAAAGAATTGCAGCATTTTCTTCCTCTTCTTCAAAACCAAACCAAGATCTGTCGAATGTCATGCACTTCTTTGTGCATTCGTCCTCGGATTTGTAAACATGTGTTTGAAAATGCTCGCAAAATGGCTTGCACTGAAATTACATAAGTAACCTATGAGTCACTAGACTTCATAACAAAAAGTCAAACTTCCTCTTCGGTAAATTTTCTCGCGACCGCATAGGCAAGAACCATGAGAACAAGGAAGAGCAACGATTTGAACTGCATTTTTTCACTAAACGAAAATTACACAATTGAACTTTTGATCTCGCAACACGCTCGGCTAATTCTCCTTTTCAACTCAGAAAAACTTATTTTGTAGTCGTTTTTTAAGCTAAGCTTGTGAGAATAAACTAACTTAATTTAAAGTTGCTTCTTCAACATCATGTCGTACCTTGGAAAAAATCCGCAGAGAATTTTGAAGAAAGTTACCTCATTTAGATATTATAATCGAATTGGAAGAAAACCAAGATTCTATACAGGGCGTCCGTAAAGTATGTATACACTGTTTGATCATTAATGTCTCTTTTCCCAAGAAGTTTTTTGCCTTGCTTCAGGTACCTTTTTGCAGAGCTGGCTTCAACTTAGATTTACAGTATAGAGCGAATCGTCCATCTTTCTCCTTTACTGTAGGATTACGGTAGAAAGTTGAAAGAAGGTTTTGAGCCATGAAAGGCCATATTTTGCCTCAGAAAGGAGACAAAACAGCCTGAAAACTTTTACACTAGGCTAATTAGAGCTGCTGATTCTAAATGTGAAGTTCCCAACTTATTGTGAAGCTTCATTGAAGAGTTATGCCAGGTAAGAGTAAGCGGCCATTTTTTCAATGTTCCTAAAAAGTGCGGTTGCACCGTTTAGAAAGCTTCGCAATTTTATAAATAGTTGAGTATTGAACTCAGCGTCCATAAAAACCCTATTACACAAGTTTTCACTTTTTTTTGAAAAATTTTCAAACGGCAGCTTTTTCCACATTGACACCATATGTTTCAAGTTTCTACCGTAATCCTACAGTAATGAAGAGAGATGGGTGATTCGTTATATACTGCAAATCTAAGTTGAAGCCAGCTCTACAAAATGGTACCTGAAGCAAGGCAAAGACTTCTTGGGAAAAGAGATATCAACGATCAAACAGTGTATACATACTTTACGGACACCCTGTATTTTACAATTCAAACATTTTCAGCCTTTTTTCCCATGCTTCATTGTGATACAAAAATAGAGATCTTGTTCTGTGGTATCATTATAGGAGATTATACGGTTCCACAAATGAAATGGTTAAAGTCATTTGCTCAACCGCCCTCATAATATCGCTTTTAACGCCTTTTTACCAGCAGCAAGTAAGCTGCAATACCCTATCTCAAAATGATGACGCTATGAAGGAGATATTTGGAGCTAACACGCCCCAAGCTTTTATGCAAAATCAAAATTAAAGAACAAAGAAAGTCTTACCAACAATTTGGTCTGTGACGGTCTGTGGTGTATATGGATCATGCTCCATTATATATATCAAACTAAAAGTTGGTTCATCCTCTCACTAGTGATACAATAAGGACAAATCTGAAAGAAAGGATCTAACCATTCGCTGACCGCATAATAGTTATTTATATGAGAAACAGGTGCGCAAACTGCCACTTACACTTTTAAGAGATATTTAGCGCCCCTCACAAAGCGCTAATCATCATAGCTGCTGCCTGTTTGCATATTACCAATCTCTTTATTACCTTCATTTGATATTCCCCCTAGGTCTGTGAATTCAACAATAAGTGCTGTTATTTATTCTACACCTGGGTAAACTTACACTTCTTCAGACCTATTCTATTCTTTTTTTATTGTTTCTTTGAATCATTCAGGGAAACTAAGCTTACCATTATAATTATGGATATAATACTATGTGGCATTTGAACGCCAATTATTGATGTTTACGCTTTCAAGCAATTTCGGTTGTGGAATTTGGAACATTTTCAGTTCTGGTCGATCAAAGGCAGTGGCTCGGGATAATGGCGACTAGGCGCTTTTCACAACTACATGGCCTTCTGGACCACCTGAGTCAAGTATTGTATTAAAATGTCAAAAAAGTGTTTTTTTTTTTTGGAGTTTGCCGGCCTTGCAGATTGCTAAAGAGGCGGGATCAGGGATTCCCGCCATAACCGGCAAATAACTGCAGGATACGGTAACTTCACCTATTTTGGCGGCAATTGGTTGATCAACCCAGGCAATCACTACGATACAGCTGACGGGAATTCCTCGCTCCGCCTCTCCAGCAACCTCCAAGGTCGGAAAACGCCAAAAAATCACTTTTTTGGCTTTTCAAGCACAGTGTCTGTCTCAGCTGGTCCAGAAGGCCATGTAGTTGTGGAAATCCCCCACTCTGATTTTCCCGAACCGCTGCTTTTAATGGTAACTCTCTTTCCGCTTTGTGCACATGTATTAGTTCGGTCAGTGAGTCGTGCTGTTTCGAGACCTATTTTTGAATTACTCAGGGCAATAATATAGGAACGCTCTAAACGGTGTTGGATGCAATTTTCTTCGTTTTACTGATTTCGTTTCCAGTTCTTCAGAAACCACTCGAATAATCATCAGAATCTATCCATGGTTTTATCTACCCTTGTGAATACCTCCTAAAACTCTCACTGCAGATTTTTGGGAAAGCGCGTAGGCGCTTTTTCTTTTTAGTTAAAAGGCTTTATGAATAAAATCACTGCAATTCTTGTTTCTGAGTCTACCAAAAAATTCTAATGTAATTTTAATTGTAATGTAATGTAGTGGAAACCTTTGATTTACTTTGTAGAATTAGTGAAAAATTATATCGATTATCAAAGGTTCGGTCTAAAGATTTATCAGCGCTTGAAGCGGTTCTGAATTTCGTTGCTTCGCAAAAGTAAAGACTTGTGAAACTTATTCTGAAAATCGCTGAAAAACTAGATGAAGCAGAGACAATAAGATGTATCCACCTTGCTTTATTCTCTGCAAATATTATCGAGGCGCTTCCTAAACTCTGCAATGGAAATTGAAAAATAGGTAGAATTAGAGTAGATAGGAAGCATGGTTTATATTCTACAATTAATCGAGCAATCGTTGCAAAACTCGATACAAAAGCATCACTGCTAGGAAGAAGTTTTATGAACATATCTGCGTTCGCCAATTAGTAGTTCATTATTCTGATTGATTCAATGATAGGCCTGATAAACAGCACGAACTTTCGGACCACTCCAAAATATTTTTTTTGCTAAGCAATAATCACAAGAGCGCTGAGTGCGGCAAAACTCTGGAAGCTTTGCTGTGTTTAGATTGTAGATTAGTAAACTACTCATGGATTTTATTCCAAATTTATGCCACATAATGCTGCGATCACCTTCACAAACCACTTTATCTAGCTAAAAATGCCTGCCATATGTTATTGTAAGAGTTTGACTTATCAAACTAGTATTAGTGCAAAGGAAGAAAATCAAAAATTCTAGTATTTGCAACTCATTTCGTAGCTAAATACTATGAACAGTCTACAACACTTTGATACATACAATGTAGGAGGCTTTGCGCTATTATATCGTAGCAGCTGCGTTTGCCAGAAATTATTACTTTGAAGAACTTGAAACAACATTCGCGAATATCACTGCGTGCCAATGGTCAGCTGTCTCTAAATAAATTTGGAAGCTATAGAAACACAGCAGGCACTCAATTTTAAGCTTCATTCTTTCCGTAAGTATTCTATATAAGCTTCAATCGAATTCGGTCATGGAGCGATTTTTAGATTATGATCTCGTTTACGTTCGCGCAATCGCGTCCAGGTTTTCAGAGTATGCTAGCGCACTTACTTAAAATTCCAAAATTTTTAATATTGCAAAGGAATTTTTTTGTAGTACGCTTAGCCAAGAACTTGCTCCATCATACTGCAAGTCGCCTAATGAAAGAAGCAGTTATCTTGCAGGCGTGGCAAAAATTACATTACGATTGCTTGCATGCCACGACAGGTGACTCGCCTAGTCGCCTAGATTTGAGGGGCTGCTTTGAAGGCAAAAGAGGCAATCTCAAAATTTAGCTATATTGTAATTGTGAACACTCGGATTATGTGTGCACCGAACTTCAAAATACTTCTGCTGAAATGCTCCGCAAGTCATTCTATCAAGAGAAGCGAGGCAAGTGCTGTCATCAGTGACCTCACTGTTTAACTTCGCTGTATGCTTCTCTTCTATATTCGAAACTCACAACTGAGGACTGAGTAGCAGTGAATCAGTTGAAGTAATTCTGGGTAGAAGTTACGTTGTTCTTTCATTGAAACCTGACTTGACCCCCTGAGTGGACTTTACCCTATGTTTGTCGTGAGAGAGGCAGAAATTTTGGACAATGGGTTCAGTTAATGGAAAGGTACTCATTCTTTGACGGTAAAACAAAGCAACAACAGCTTTTCTTTCTTTGTCTTTGATGGAACGGCAGCTGTTGCGTTAATTCCTTTATGAAGCCTCAAAATAATATTATTTCTATGGATAATTGTGTGATCCTGCAATGCAGTCTGCTCCAGAGCATTCTTGAACACCAGAATTTCTAGCTTTGTGAACATACCTTCGATAATCAAGAGACAGAGCCTAGAAAGTGATGCTGTTTGAGTTCTTGCCCCCTATAAAAAGTGAAGGTTGTTTTAGAAAAAATAGATGGAAATTTAGAGATTTCAATTGAACCAGGAAACTTGAAAAATTCATATAAAACAGAGGCTAACGCATCACCAAATTTAAAATCTTATCTTGGTGGTTTCCTACGCACATTTTTGTCTTCAGAATTGCCGGTTAAATTGGGTGGCAACAGGAACAAAGTTCTTTTCTAATTGAAAAAAGAGCGTTAGCTGTGGCGGTAGTTGGGAGACCGAAAGAAGGCAAACTTTTCAACAACTGAACTGGATGTGTTAAGCGTGTCTGAAAAGTTATGCTGCACATCGACGCCAATCTGATTTTTGACGCGTCCTTCGAATTTTTACCCCCGCATGGTCGTTTCGTATCCTGCGACGTTGTCTGGATTCTTCCGCTCATCATTCTGAGCAAGTAACGTCCAAGCTGGAGAAAATTCGTTGCAAAAGCATTGAAAAAGAACAAGGTAAAGAAAAACGCACTTTTTGGTAATTTTACAAAAAAAACAGGCATAAGCAAAGAAGTAAGCTCGGCGACGTTGCCTACATCATAGACAGAAACAAGACCTATCGAATGCACAAAAAAACCGAGTGAAAAAAGTTAAACTGAAGA